GATCGTTAACCAACTCCAATTGTTTAGAAATTACACGAGCAGCAATACAGAACCAAGATAAAGACAAAAATCATGTTAGAAGATTGGGAGTAAAACCTTATTGTACAGAGTGCGCAGTATTTTATCAGGTACGCTAAGACCAACAGATCAATCAGCTAGAATTGGCCATTCCTGTATGTTCTTAATCTGTTCTTCATTGGTGGCTATCTCTAAATCGGTGACGACGCGGTAAAAGGAAGTTCATTTTCTTTGCAAAAAGTGTGAACTTTTAAGACTTTAACTTTCGGCCAGCCTCTTTATCCGATGGAATATCTAACGCAAATTATGAAACATCTCATCAAAGGATTTTCCAACTACAATAACATCATCCAGATAAACTAGGAATATACTCTATTTTTATGCCTGAACAAATAGTATCTGATGGAATTGAAACAGTCCTCGTCGGTTGGCAATTACCGTTTTCGGACGGTCTTCCTCTGTTACTTCGAAATGCCAGTATCTCGAAGAAAGGTTTACAAATCGAGAACCATTTTCTTTTCGGACAGTTGGTTTAATGAGTCGTCGATGGGGTTAAAGGGAAGCACCTTTCATTGTTAACTCGTTTACCGTACGATAATCTACGCAAGAGTATGTAGTTTTTTTCAGTTTAAAAAGTAAACTATTTTTCGTATTTGCATCCATTGTGGTATGGCCCTGATAATGTTTGATATAATTGTCACATGACGTTAAGCAGTCAACAATCAATCAACGAAACGAAAATTTCTTATGTGACAAATACAACCTCCCTTAATTTTTGGTTCTTGTCTTTTTTCATGATTTTGATTTTCTTCGCCATCACATAACCTTTTGTGCATTGGTTTGAGAAACATCAACAATAAATTACTATTAAGATGTATGATGGATTAGTGTTCTATGCCGCCTGTCTCCGTTGGATTCAGTTTTAGAGCAAGTAGTGTATCGTATCTTGCTCCGTAAGATTTTTTCGAATAAAATCAAGTATTTATGAATAAATCTTAAGATTATGATGTACTATTATGGTAAATCCCTGTCATTTTTATGTTGAATATTATATGATATAAATCAGCGAATTCACTGTGGTGCATTCATGTGTAATGGTTTGTATCTTCATGTGTAATGGTTTGTATCAATATGTTTGTATAGTGTTAAGATTCAGATATTGTTTACACCAAAGATACAGTATAATTATATAGTTTGTATTCAAAGGAATGTACTCTACATTTTGCTGTCGATGTCATACTTCCAACATTTTATTTGGAAAGGAGGTAACTAGTCATGGAACAGCAGTACTCAATGTTGTATGAGTAATCCTTTATTCCATAATATAAACTAGAAAGTGTGTTTATAATACACCATATCGCATTTCTATGTTCAGTTCTCTCTGGGCACTACGGCTCCCTCCACCAATAAAAATTGACCGCCACGAAATAGCACAATAGTTGCATAAAACATCAATCAATCATCACCAAAGTTAATATTCCTGATGATCCCCAAAATAAGTCAAATGTGCAACACGTGTTCAACATAAGATAAAGTACATTATATACACAAATAACATCATTCACATATCATTATTTACACCAAGATGTCGTTAAATAAAATTGGATACCATACATTTATCTTGCTTTTCAATAACATAAGATCAAATTGCTGAAAGACCCACCCTCTAGATTATTGACAGATATCATTCTGGATTGACAATAACATCTTGGTGAAAATTAGATACGCCCATTCGGGCTAACGTCTTCAAGGTGTATAGATCTAATGCTTACAAAATATGCTACAACAAGCAAAGTGTTCCGAGACTACTCGATACAAAATATGGCATAAAATTGAAAAAGTTCACATCATAACGAACAAATGAACTCAGTTTCATGTGGATGTGCCCACAACTCCATGGTATCTACCTTGAACAAAGAATTAAACATTATAGTGTACTAGATTAACACTACTATATTTCCATGGTCAGTAAGCCGTAAAATCAGTGTAAAAAACTTAATCAGACATTAGATCAGAAAACATAAGCGTCCTACATGTATATATATTAATCACCATCTGCAGGATTTTTCAATGGCGTTGAATAAAATTTGTTCGTATGGTTAAAAAAATCAAGTTTTACAAGTTAAACATTTCCATATGAAATAACAAAAGAGGCGGGTGATACAAGGAGACATGCAAAGCTCACAAGTCGAATAGAAACTGACAACGTCATGGCAAAAAAAAAACGACAGCCAAACAGACAAACAAGTCCAAAAAACACTATGCATTATCTCATTTTAGAACTTTCTAGATCTTTATGTATTCATGTAACTTTGTTTTAGAGAGAGAGAGAAAAAAATTAACCACAGGAACTTGACACAATTGTCCCATTCTTGTTTAATTTGTGAGATTAATAAAATGTCTGTTGTATTTATTGAGTAAACCCCTGAGGGTTCACGCATATATAGTAATTGATGCTGTAGTTTTTCGGAATACCGGAAGACTCTAATGTCTTTTCGGAATACATCTGTTCTTTTTTATGGCCAACTGCATAATAGGTAATTAATTGATCTAATGAATATTCACTGGCGTTTTGCAGTTGTTATAGGGTAAAGTGTTTATCGAGACTGATTGATAGCATACATCAGTAGTTAATTAATTAGAGATGCATGTGTGAAGTTTCTGAAATTCACATTGGCGATGAGATTTTAAGCGAAACCGTTAAAGTTACCGTCAATGGAGAGGGCGTTTTTAGGATTAAAAAAAATAGCCATTTTAGCACAATTAAATTAGAGTGCAGTCCATTTAAGTAGCTATGAAAATTCTACGTCCAGGAAAGCGGCGTGTAGGAAAACATTATATAATTACACTTCTGTAAATTAGAATTACATAGGTGGAATTACTTTTTATTTTACTTAATGGAGTTACCATAATCGTTATATATAGAGGAATATTTTAGGAAAAAATATATATTCTTAACCGTCATCAAAGTAGAAACAAAACTGAATTAAGTACGGCCACGAAAGCCGTACGGTTGCCTATTGCAGTTTATAATTCTATTGTGGTGCACAATTTACAATTCTATTGTGGTGCACAGTTTATAATTCTATTGTGGTGTCCTGGTGTACTGTCGTAAATTCATGGGAGGTGTCCGTTGTTATTTTGTGGTTTATATGTTGTAATGTACTATTATATTATCTATTTATGTATTTCTCTGTCCTGAGTGTTCTTGTGTTTATTTGTACTGTAATTCCTGTCACATAATGTTGTCATTTTAGCAGTATTTTTAACGTTGCCATATAAGCGAAAGGTTTGGCTAGCCATTTTAACCAGGTTCAACCCACCATTTTTTTATGAAAATGTCCTGTACCAAGTCAGGAATGTGGAGGTTGTTATCAAATAGTCCGTTTCTATGTATGTTGGCGTTTGTTTTTGTAGCGTTTCAGTGTTTCTGTTGTTCCGTTGTTTTCCTCTTATAGTTTTCCCTCAGTTTTAGTTTTTGACCCGGATTTGTTTTCGCTTAATCGATTTATGACTATTAAACAGGGGGTATACTACTGTTGCCTTTACTTAACATCCACTTCATTTGAACTCTGGTGGATCGTTGTCTCATTGACAGTCATACTACATCTCCTTATGTTTTGTTTTTTATTAATCTTATGAAAACGAATGACAGTTAACTTAGGAACTTTAGACGAAATCTAAAAGGCAACCTTTGTGTGTGTTACATAAGAGACATATTAAGCGGAATTATATGTCTCTGGTTAAATGCAAAAATATGTCATATCAAAACAATTTTTTAATGAAAAAAATATTCTATAGATATAAAACGATTTACGGACACTGGGTGATATTCTTTGGCGTGAGGCGATGACTTTCTATTTATCTAAAATTTATGGCCATTGCAATTAAAAAGAAGAGGTTTGATATATTCCTCGATGTTTGGCATCAAAACTATTGTTAATTACTACCGGTATGTGTTTTGTGAGAATAGATTAGCAATTGTTTAAGTACTTATAATACCAGGGAAATTAATATTATTTAGTTATGATTATTTTATCAAACTAGAGATCCGTTTGTCATTTTTTTTAATTATTAAATGTGCGAGTTTTTCAAGGGACACCTGTGTCGACTACCCTCTCCAAAAAAATATATTTAACAATGGCAAAGTCAATTCTTTTGTTTTTGGTACGTGTATGTGAAACACCTCCCCACAAACAAATAACCATGATTAATGTCAGTTAAATTTCTTCACATTTGAATTTCGACTTTAGCCAGAAAACTAACTTTTAATTTCAAAAACAGCACCTCAGAATTGAATATCCAGAGAGGGGCTCCTATTTAGAATGTTGAAATGTTACTTTGCTGGAGAGAAAGAATATTTTGACCCACATCGAACAACAGTTACACTGATCGTTTATGTCAAACAGGCATTTAGGTTCACGATTGCATTTCTTTTTTAAAGAAAACAACTTGTATTGACTATTTAGTTGTAGATATTGATCTTTTAGTTGTTGGTATTTACCTTTTATTTACTGGTATTGACCTCTGTTTTGTTGGTAGTGACCTCTATTTTGTTGTTATTGACCTTTAATTTGTTGATTTTGACTTTTGTATTTGCTGAAATTGACTATCACTTCCCCCTTTACCGTCAACATAACAAAAGACAATGACATACAGGGTTCAATGATTATGTAACTGTCTGATTACATGTAAACTTTGTCTGTGTCGTTTGGATCAATCCGGAGTTGCAGACGATTTATTGATTCAACTTTTTGTCTATTAACTAGGTCAGAATGTACGAGTATTCTTTGGGGGGAGAATATATCAAGAGAAATTTCCCGAAAACTCAGTATTTATCTTTATTATGTTTGTGCAGTTTATGTTCCTTTTGATATAAATAGTTAGTTAACAGATATGTTTATTTCGTAAAAGGTGCATAAACTTGTGTATTTAAATAGATACACATATTATGTATCTAACCTAGCTGTCGTTAAATCTAGAACATAGTGCAACTATATAGAGGTCATTCCCGTGTGCAGCTAGCAGACGATGATTACGTAATGTCAAGACGACAAGCTTGATTTATTGAAAAATGGCTGATCTGAATGTTTGCAACTTTGTCTGAGAATAGGAAGTTATTGTAAGTATATAACTTACATTTAATTCTTATCTTATATTATTTATAAATATGCATACATTAATATGTTTTATGAATAGCATATGTGCGATGTATTGAACGATTAACTGCTTTCATAAATTTTCAGGTAAACTTCAATCTTTTCTATGTTAAATTGCAAAGAAATTGTGGTATGATATGATTATCAGCTAGTACCCTAGTTATAACTGAAAGTTGAGTTTGCTAACTTCCAACACGATCTAGTTCTTCCCAGGTTGATAATTGAAAAAGAGTCAAAGAATTTGATATTCCACAGCTGTATTAAGTAATTTGCATTGACTTAATTTTTTGGGGTTTTTTTCTGTCCAAAGCAGGTCATTTATATTGTGCCCTAATTTAATGACCTTCTATTTGAAATCAAGTTGACATATAACGGACAGTTAGGTTAAATAGTTCTAAAGGGTGTACTATATTGTGTTGACTTATATGCACCTGAAGTTATGTTGACCTGAATGGGGTGAATTACTTGGAAGTCAGGTGTTCTATTTTTAGGCTGTTTACCGTTTGCGTAGGTGAAGAGCATTGGCTGTTTATATATATTTAGATTTTATATTCTTGGTAACTTTCTACATTAATGTGTTTGTATTATTATTTACACAAGTATGTCATTAAAGGAAATTGGATAGCCATGCATGTACATAAAATGAATGTGTATATCTCACTTGAAATACATATTTAAATATTATATAATATATAAATGCAACATTGAGTGTCGATATTAATCACTGTTCGGAAATTTGAGTCGTAACTTTTCAAGGTCTGATAGATTTAAAAAGAGTTTATATATGTATTTGACAGTTTTAAAAAGAACATATTTCGTTTATCTTTGATTTCTTAGAATTATTTATGTGTTTGTTCTATCTACTGTATTGCTATATGGTATGTTCTTCCGAAAATCTAATCTGTTCTAAGGCACCATGCAACCATTTAACTTTGTGGGTGAGTGGGGCATTTTTTTAGAATATATTATATGTTTAGATTTTTTTAAACAATATTTGAGGAGAAAAATGTTAAAAAATAGTTTGACTCCCTTGAAAATTGAAAAAAATAAAAATAAATACACATTGAGCTTAACAATTCTGTTGTACCTATATGTTTTTGAAACAATATTTTGTTTAACGTCGAAAATAGTTTTGTCGACCAGAGAGAAGAAAAAAACCACACAATATCCCCACTTTGTATTCCTAAATGCAATGTTTTATGGGTTGTGTTGATATGTTATGGTTTACTGGGATTGTTACACAATGTACATTGTATCGAATACCAGTTGACAAATTCCACCCAGCTGTTAGTTCAAATAATTGCGTAAATTATTTTTACATATCCAGAAATCAACGCCACTTTGCTTATTAAAGAAATCGTATACGGGTCACGGAAATTATATTGAAATGATAGGGAATTTAGAAAAAATGTCTGTTTTAACTTTGATTTAAGTGATAGACAGGTTGCCGGGGCAGAAAATAAATATACACAACAATATACACCATTTAAACGAAATATAATGACTGGCGTTGCAAAAATCAAGGTTCCTGAGCTATTTAAAAAATCGAAGCGAGAGGCTTTTAACATTGCAGTATAAAATACAGGCTAAAATGGCTGAAACGTCAAATTTGCAAACTTCGTGTTGAAAATTGGCTAAAAGGTCATTAGAAATACAGGTTGCTGGGGTGAAACTTGAAACTTGAATGTCCAAAGAATAAGCAAGTCCAAACCTTGTTTGTGTAGTCGTTGAACTCTAGGTTCCCACGTAAAGTTAAAATGCCTCTATTTCAAGAAGAATCAACTCACGAAAACACGAAAATATCACTACATTCGCGTTCATTGTTTTGATTTTGACCGCCTGACAACTTTACGGAAATATCAGAGTGATTATAAACAAGGACTCTGTGACGGGCAACTTATAATATCCGTGTTTTAAAGATTTTAATGATATCAAGCCAGTCCAGTTCAAACTATTATCACGTGGTACAATTCTCATTTACATATTATGAATATTAATTAGCAAAAGTACTACTAATTTCTGGCTATGAATTTTGGTATTCATTGTATCAAGTGAAATTCACGGAAATGTCCGGTTAAGATTTCTTTTGATTGTTTGTGTCGTTTGTTTGCTATCCCACTGACATTTACCTTATATCTCTTTTTAATTATATTTTTCAAAGAAAACTACCTGATCATTACATACATTATTTGATTGTAAACATCTCTTAGACAATATTATTTAATATATATAAAATAAGATGTAGTATGATATAGCTAATGAGACAACTCTCCACGAAATACCAAATGATGTAGAAGTTGTGCATTTACATCGTCGAGGCCTTAACGTTAATGAGACATCTTTATAGCTTCTTTTAATTCATATCTTCATTCAATTTGAATCACAAATTTGATTTGTTTATCTTTATCACTTCAAATGTATATTTTGTGAATTGAAAGAACAACGCCATTAGGAAGGAACTTAACAACACAGCTTCGATCATCAACAATTACCGACCATCATAGTGTATTTATTGATAGTTGGTATGCTTCTTTTTGAAAGTTTTAGACATTCTTCACTTTGGAATACGTTATGGGACGACAATTTGATTTTCGTTGGTGAAGAAAGGGGGCAGGGGAGAGATTTTGAAAATAAATACATGTATCCTAGCCTGGTTAGAGGTGAAAATAAATACATGTATCCTAGCCTGGTTAGAGGTGAAAATAAATACATGTATCCTAGCCTGGTTAGAGGTGAAAATAAATAACCTTGCAGAGAGGATGAAAATGAATATTCTGCAACACAAAATGCAGGAAACAATTGTGTATACAAAAGTGAAAATAAATAATCAATCCAAAAGAAACCGGCCTGTCCCCTCCCCCAGAATATCAAATGGTCGTCCCCTAATGTAGCTGTAATGCCTGTGCATTACATAATTTGACATGCTATCATACCATTTTAATTAGGAGATTAATTTTAGAAAGTATTATAATATTATAACAAATAATAGTGCATGAAAAGGGATCATTATAAATATGATTAAAACCAATAATACCACACAGTACAACAGACCATATCAACCCTCAACATCCAACTCCTTCGAAAAAAAAAAAAAACAGATATTCTTTATGTGACTCTCCCAAGTCAGGAGTTTGTAGTTCAGTAGTTGTCGTTGGTTCATGTCTGTCATATTTGTTTTTCTGAAATTATTTTGTTATAGGTTAGGCCGTTAGCTTTCTTAATTATTTTTCCTGTCGGGGACCTTTAATATTCGACTATACGGTATGGGTTTTTTTCATTGTTGAAGGCCGTACGGTTTCCTATAATTGCTTACATCCACTTCATTTGAACTTTGGTGGATAGTTGTCTCATTGGCAATCATACCACGTATGTTTTTTTTATATTAAACAGATTTGTGTGTGTAATAACCTTACTTTTTGCCTATCGAGACCACATATATGTCGTAAAACTAAAACGCAATTAAACAACTTTTTGTTTTTAAATGCGACTACCTAAGCTTAAGGCTCAGTTTATTTTTAGGGACAACTGTCTGTGTAAAAGTATGCCATTGAACTAGTTATTCATATAATTACTTGTACATAAAATTTCTGTTGACACAGAGATATGTCTCGCATTTTTGTACTTTTTATTGTAAAATGCAAATGGTTAAATTAAAATGGTAATATCTAAACATGTAAACTATGCAAAACGTTCAAAGTCACGTAGCCATGACCGAGGGAACATGGCCAAATAATCTCCGCGGAAATAAAAGGATCCAATGTTAATATAACAGCATACCAAATATTAATTTGAAACATCTTTTCGCTGATAATTTTAATTCAAGGATTACCATGATTTCTTGTATATTGAACATCTACATGTATACCACGTCCTATAATTTTGTGAACTTTAATCCTAATGAATGTCTTCTGCTATGTAATTTGAATGACTTGAAACGGAGTTTCATTGGCATTTTTCTGCAAACGTACATGTAGACCAGTAGCGTCCATCTTCGTTTGCAACCTAATTCTAAAAGGATGGAGGAAATGTCGCCGCTTATTAGATATTTTCTGCAAGGGTATATTGTTGATCCATGCTTTTTATTTATGAATGTACAAACTATATTAAAATCATGTTTATTTAATGCTTTTTTCGCGTTTATATATTGCGATCGTCTTAAATTATGATAGTTACATGTATTTGTGGTGTTTTGTGTATTCTTACTAGCATTTCATCTACGCGATTCTAATTTCAAAACGACATAGCCCCAAGGATGGAAGGGACAATTAAGGTTTAATTGGGGTATAGAAATATGGTCATCCCTGGACTTTTCCCGTCGGTCAGCTGATAACTCTTTATAAAGTTTGTCGTGCGTTTGGCCATTTGGAATGTATAGATACGCAGCAACGTCCGTCCCAAATGGTGACGTTTAATCCGATCCTCCTATTTGTTTAATGCCAAGCTCCCTGCACGTTGTAGAACCATTGGCACAACTCTCTGAAGGATCCGTAGATGGCCTGGTACGCCCCTATAAACATAGTATTACCTCATTTTCCAGTGACAGTTTGAATTTCCTCCCTTTGATACCGGCCAACCTACCTTACAGAATATACCGTATGTATTTATTATTAATTTGTTCTCGTCCTTAATATTCGTGTAATATTTGCCACTGGACTTAACAATTAATTAATCTAAACGTCATTATTATTATCATAATGTAGCGTATATGTGTGTATATGTGTGTATGTATATGTGTGTATGTCTTGATATATAACTATCAATTTTAACCTGCAGGTCTCTAATCGATCAAATAAAATCTTGTAAACTGTATATTTGTTTTGGTGTTTTTGGGTTTCTTGCCCTAGTTCATGAACCCTTTTACTATTAAGTTTTGAAACAAACAAATTATTGAAATTTCAGAAGAATAAGTGTTCATATTTTTTGTTACTTTTATATTTTGTCAAATACTGTATTGAAGTTTTGG